TATTCAGGAATGTATAAACAGTAGAGAAAGTGGTATTGAGGTAGAAGATTAGCTATGATAGCCGATAAACCACTGGTCAGTGGGCTCAAAGTCCTACTCCTATTCTTATGTTCCAAACTGTGGTATAATCATCAACCACAATTCTTAAGCAGAATTGTTTTCCATTCTTCTCAGTTCACCCGACATCACTTTTCTGCAGGGACAGGAGAGAAATTCTTGGTAATTCCGCCGAAACAATTACAAATGAGAACAACTCAGGACTGGAACTTGCTGACAGAAAGCACAGATCTCACCGTGAGCCTCAAAGCCTCTAAGAATTGAGAAAACTAAGAGTTCTACTCTCAGGATGACCAATTACTAATTCTGAAGGAGGGTTACTGGATTCAAAATGATAGCTCTGCTTTCTCTCCACAGATGCTGCCAGACTTGCTGAATTTCTCCAGCAATTTCTGTTTTTGTTTCAGATCTTCCACATTTACAGTTCTTCATTTTCTTTGACTAATCACCTTTATCAGATTGAATCTCTGTTCATTGGGGGATGATTTTTAAAAGGGGGAACTAGAATCAGATGAAAGGAACACCATAAGGTGGTGAAGGTAGTTAATGAGCTAAGTTCGGCAAGATAGAGCAGGAAATCTCACTCAGACTCTTGGCAAAAGCCCTCCAAAAACATTGCCGCACTTAGCCAAGGGTCATGATTTCAAATATAAACCAGCTCTGTTGTTCAAGGAGTTTCAGAAATCTAACCCAGTGATAATGGTAAAATATATTTTCAAGTTAGGATGGCATGTGACTTTAAGGAATCAGGGAGGTTATGATATCCCCATACTCCCCTTGCCTTTCTAGGTGTTAGAGATCATGGTTTTGAAGGTGCTCTCAAAGGGAGGGAGCAGGAAGGGAAGCCATTACAGGTCATTCTTAGTCTATGACAGGGGAAGTGAAATTGATTTAGTTGAAAGCAGTCCCAACCAGGTGGACAATTTTAGAGAGACATTGCAGGAAGATGATGTTGAATACGGTCAAAAACTACAGCGGTCAAAAAGATTGCAGAGAAATGTTTGCCTTTGTCACTATCAAAGGATGTCACTTGTGACATTGATATAAGCAATTTTGGTAATGAGGCAGGGCAGAAAACCAACTCAAGAGATTAACAAATGACTTCAGATGAAAATGGATTTATGACACAACAATACATTCAAAGGTCTTTGGAGTGGAAAGATAGATTGGAGATATTTGCAAGGTCGTTGGGATCAAGGCAGCTGTGATGATGTCAGATTCAGAGGAGAGAGGAACAGGATATGCAGAGAGAGTTACAATCAATACCTGTTCACTTTGGAGCCAGAAAGGGAAGTTATGTGGCCAGCAGTTTGGTGGGAATAGAATTTAGTAAGTAGGAAGTGGCCAGATGACCTCAGACAATGAATGAGGGGATTTGGGAGAGAAACTAAAGAAGGAAACACAATCGCTAATAGTTGCAGGATAAACCTAGAGAATTTTGGGTGGTGGGCTAGGGGAAGGGGGAGAAATGCTAAAAGCAGTTAATCAGATGGTCTCAGATCTTTCTGACCAAGAAGTTCGTGAATTTCTCATAGCTGTTGGAGATGGGGAGATAAGTTCAAGAAAGACAGCTTGCAGTGCAGTAAAACAAAAGGGTTTACTTTTGAGAAAAAAAATTTTAACAAAGATATTAAGAAGTGATTAACAAAGTAGACGTACAGCAGATGTTTCCCCTTCTGGGGAATTTATAACAAGAAATCATAGTTTTAGATTTGGAGTAGAAGATTTAAAACAGAAATAATGAGGAATTACTTCTCTCAAAGGGTCATGAATCTGTACATGCTGGAAAAGTGAATAAATTTTAGGAGGAGATGGACATATTTTTAATTAGTAGTGGTTTCAAGGGTTATGATGAGTGGGCAGGAATGTGGAGTTGAGGCAATGGTGAGATCAGCCATGATTGAATTGAACAGGTGAGCAGGCTCGAGAGGCTGAATTGTCTACTCCTGTTCATAGTTATTATGTTTGTGCTTCAGTACTCCTGGAATAGCGAGCAGTTTTTGAAGATGACAATAGATCCTGATTGTGCTTTAAGTGATCCAGCCAGATGTGATGGCAATTAACTGAAACTATTTGTCTTAAACATTCAAGTCTGCCCTTGTAGAATTAAGGGAGCCAGAATGAGAACCATACCAAAAAGGGCAAACAGAGAAAAAAAATGGTTTTGGTGGGAACTGCAGCATTAGAAGTGGAACTGAGTAGATTGGTAATTGCAGGAACGTTGTGGTGAAAAGAAGACAGTTTGAAAGTGCAGTTGTAAACAATTGAGAGATTTTTTTCCCAACGGTGCATACAGAAAGAAATAGGATAGGGAACGGGAAGTAGTAAGGGGACATGGGTGTAGTGCTATACAGGAAAGTGATAAGAAAGGACCTCTGTAACTGGTTTGTTGGGAGTTGTGATACCACGAGACGGCAGAGTCGAGGGATTTGACATGAAAAGATGTGAAACTTAGACAGAGGGTGATATTAAAAGGGAGAAGAGGCAGTGAACTCAGGAGAGAAAGAATGCCAAGTGAAGAAGCTGAATGAGTTTGCTGTGAAGATATCAATGTAAAACATTCTTTCGTACTTGAATGGGCAACAGAAAGTGAGGATTTGAAAGGCCAGGTGAGGGAAATCAGAAAAGCAACTGACGTTTATAAAACTCCTCAAATGTAATAGAACATCCAAAGAAAATTAAGGTACCGAGCCACATATAACAATATTAGGTCAGATGCCCAAAACCTTGATCATAAAGGTAGTGAGGTGGAGAAGAAATTTATGGACGGTATTCCTAAATTTAGGCAAATGGAGGCACAGCCATTAGCATTACAGCAATTAAAATCCAGGATGCTAAAGATACCTTAAGTAGAGGAATGCAGAGGTCTGAGTGTTTTGGGTCTGCAAGAGATTTTGGAAAGAGAGAGTGGGGAGGCCATGGAGGATTTGAAAACAAGGTTGAAAATTTTAAAATCAAGTCATTGCTTGACTCAGTGAATTAACTTAGGTCAGCAAATATAGGGTGACAGGGAATGGGACTTGCTAGGCGTTAAGACACTGGCAGCAGGGAGATGTGGATAACATCAAGTTTACAGAGAGCAGAGTATGGGAGACCAGGCAGGAGAGTGATGGAATAGTAAAAGTGTAGAGGTAACAAAGGCATGAGTGGAGGAGTCAGCAGCAAACGAGCTCAAACAGGGGCAAAGTCAAATGATGTTAGAAAGGTGGAAGTACCTGTAATAAAATGGTTTTCATAAAGCTATTCTTGGGCTTATAAGATGTCATTGCAGGAACAAAGTGTTGTATGTTATAACAAGGTGTACAGCTGGATGAACACAGCAGGCCAAGCAGCATCAGAGGAGCAGGAAAGCTGACGTTTCGGGTCTAGACCTTTCTTCAGAA